GCCAGTCATCTATGCCGGTGACTTGAATACGGAATTAAATGATGCAAATATTCGCTGGGATCAAATGCTGAGAATCCTGGAAGCAGATATGCCAGAAATTGTGGGTGATCTCAATATAACATACGACTATGAGAATAATGACGTCAGGGGAGAAGATGAAACTCAAACCGGCGGTAAATGGATCGATTATGTTCTCTACAGTAATCAACACATCATGCCTAACTCTGCAACTCAAGAAGCTATCAAGTTCGTTGCAGATGAACCATTCCCTGTCTGTATGCGTGCCTTGCCAATACAACGAGTGGAGGACCCGGATGGAATCATTCCAATTGAAGGAGGCCAACATAGATATCCGTACCAAGACGAGTGTCTTGACTGGTGGAACATAACGGACTTGTCAGATCATTACGCCGTACTGGGAACATTCGACTTCTCATCTCCGATCCAACCAGATACAATTGCAACAGCTGCCCCTCTTCCAGGTGATTACCTTGCATTTACAACACTATTGTAAAACTTTTCTTTTTTAATATTAGGATTGTTTTCTGGTGCCTATGATATATATGGTCATCATGTATATTATACAATTCAAAATAGACGTACAAAGTATGCGTGTTTCGTTTTTCGTGATAAATGTACACACTTATTCTCAATTCATGAATAATTCCTTTAAATTGTGGTTTACGATCATCATCATCATCATTTACAAAAATTTGAAATGTGCATCATATCACTCTTGTGCGTATAAAACAAAATTCTTTTAATATATAATATGTATTATCTTCACAGATGAATGCATCGATGATAGACCACAGGTTTGGCTTGGTAAGGACATTCCTTGTTTTACCCTAAGCTTCGTGTGCCAGTCACTGAAATTAAATTATTGTTAATAGCATTCAATATCATATTATATCAACAAAGTTGTAAATACTTTTCTATTTCTTTGTTTATTTTTTTTTAGGTAGAGCAACCTTCGAATGTGACCTACTTACACCGGATTACTGTGGAATGTTTGGTCTAGAGTATGTGTGTAGTGCTGACTTCCAAGTATGGGACAAGTGTTACTTCAGTACTGCTAAGAATGTCTTGTGTGCTGTCCCCGAAATTACATTGTCTGAACCAACTCCAGCCACCACATTTAAAACCCTGGCATACAACGTTTATGAACTAAGATTACTGTATTATCAGAGTGGACAACGGGAACGTACGTGTAGAATACTCACTCAGATATTCACTCGACATGGCGACGTTGATGCTATCATATTTAATGAAGCTTTCATGGGAGGCTGCTTTCCACAGCATGGCGCTTCTTTCCGTCAGATCATGGAATACTATGGATTTAGCTATTATACTGGTACAGTGGGGGAAACCCTTTCTAAACCACCTGAGAATGGAGGCGTTTTTATTGCGTCCCGATGGCCCATTCTTCATTGGGATAAAAGAGTTTATGAAAACACCATTGTACTTACAGATGACTGGATGTCTGCGAAAGGGGCAATTTATGCAGAAATTGAGAAGACTGTAGATGGGAAAACAAGAAAATACCACGTACTTGGGACTCATCTGCATGCAGGTGACGGTGCACGAGGTGGGGATGAAGTGAGATTAAACCAAAGTATCGAAATGCACGAACTCATGTTGAGACAGAATGTCCCGACGGACGAAGCTGTGATCTACGGGGGTGACTTCAATACAGATTACTATACTGATCAAGATTGGTTGAAGCGTATGCTGGATGCCCTCGAGTCAATTGTGCCTGAACCTGTAGGATATATAAACGTAACAAGCGATGATGAGTACAACAACATCAAGACGGATCCTCGAGACATTGAAGTTGGTGATGACCCTGACTGGGTTCCCGGTTCATGGATTGACTACGTCGTCTACAGTTATTCACATCTCGTTCCAGTGACTTCAAGTCAGGAATCCGTTAAATACGTCGCCGATACCCCGTTCACCGTGTGTATGGACGACGTAAGACCATTCGGTGTACATTTTTACCCGTACAGCAGTAAATGCAGACAAAATCAAACAATTACCGACCTCTCGGATCACTACGCTGTTCTTGGTCGTTTCGAATACGCAGTAGATGACCCACCTCTAGTTGAAGCCATGTCATTTACTATGCCAAACATTATGATTACTCTTATATTTTCTGTGTTTTCTATATTGAATGTATATTAGTTTGCATCTTAATTAGTAGCGACTTGTTTATTCTTTGACTGATAATTTGTTATGCCAAATATTAAATAAATACATATATTGCAAATTCAATAAGTTTATAATTTATAAAAGGAATTTAATCTCGGAATGTTGAACTTGTCTTGGGTGATAAACATATTTTACCAGAAAAAATTAAGATTTCTTTTTTCGTCTGTTGATTTTATTGATCTTTTGATTTTCGCAAGAAAGAATTAGTTTTAAAGCTTTGTATACACATGCCTAACAATAGGTTTATAATTACAATGTTTTACTTTAACCGTAGAAAAGATGTTCTGGCAGCTACGATGTTAGTTTGTCTCTTTGCTGTATCAGAAATGTAGGTCACTTTCCTCACACTGACCCACGTAAACAATTAGTCTTGTCTTTTGTAAGATTATATGATAATGGTATAATATTCGCAATACGTCAGATAACTAAATTTTCAAAGCACTGTCTGATGAATTTGGTATCACGAAATT